TTTTGCCGAGTCACCAATCCAGTGGGCACCCTGAAATTGTAGGAAAAGTGAGTTCAGCAACAAATTTGAGGGCAGAGAGTTTGTTCGTGTTAGCGACTGACAGACCGCAAAAGCAGACTTTCAGAACAAATACTGGATTTAAAGTCATAGGTTTTTCCTGTGGTTGCCTAAAGGTTAAGCCATGCACTTGGTAAAAGCCAGAGCGAAAACAAGGGGTGACATAGGGGATCTACCTCTGACAGTTTTTCTGCAGTGGTTTCGTAGGCACTTTTTGCAGTGTCTCCGACTAATGAAATACCCTTAAAAATCAAAGAGTGGATTGTTGGTTGCTGAGTACTTCTTCAATGACAGTTATCCAGATAGAAAACCAGAAAATGTGAAAAATATTACCTCTGCTACCGTGCCAGTAGTGGTGTCGTAGGCACCTTTTGCTGAATCTGCGACATAATCAGCAGTCTGAAATGATCAACTGTGCAACAAGCCCAGTTCTCGTGAAAATCGTTCCAGCAACTTTTCCTAGAAATTTTCCTTATGCCAAGACGTGCCCTCCTCTTTAGCGGAAGGTATTACCTGTGTAGCGGGCGTGGAAAGGGATAATCCGCCATCAGGAAAATACCCCAAGGGAATGTGCCCACCTTCTCCACGTAGGGCCCCTAAAACGGTCCCTCGACTATGGCCACCGGCCGCCGCTATACAAAAAGAATCACCATGTTCGATTAGTTTGGCACTTTTTTCGTGTCCCTAATTAATTATTAATTTGAGCAGTCGAATTATTTCTGAAGAATTTTTGATTTTTGAGAAATTTTATTCATAGGAACTTATTTATATCCACTAATGGGATTAAGGAAGGACCAGTCGGATCACCCGGCTGCCGCCGGAGGTAGAATGCGCTAAATGTGCCAAACGGTGGCAGTCATTTTTTATTAAACTCCAGAAAAATGAGTTGAAAAAGCTCAACATCAGTCATTATCTACCAACATCTGGTTACTTATGCTTACTACAGACTTTCAACCATGAGAAGGCTGCACCATACCCAGAAGAGGCACAACTGCAGAGTCATGGGTGGCACTGAAAAGGAGAACTTCACATTGCTTGCACATGTCAAAGTGTGTGCCGACAGGACGTCCCCACTCCCACTTGTTGGGTTTACACCTTATTTTGCTTCATTTGTGCCCCCCCCCGCTCGGCATCATTTTACGCATCGAGTACGGAAAGGATAGGTAGTGATATATCTCACCCCAAAGGATCAGTGTGGGCCAGGGCACGGCATGGGTGAGGGATCCCCGGTGGTTTTTGGAAACAACTCCGGAAAAGTGGTAGGAAGCTAGGAGGGAAGAAAGTACGCAGTATCGTGGATTGGGGGAGGGGGATCGGTTGCACCGGAGGAGTAGTTCTGAGGAGTCGTAATTGCAAAAATGCTTTTCAATGGCGGGCAGATGATGACGATGAGCTCAATTTTCCAAGATCCCACATTTAAAGTTAAGAACAAAATAGATAGACGAGAACGGAAGTAAAAGAAATCGCGCAGTCAAAACTCCCACTGCCTTACTCCCACTCCTTTGAGACAATCGCGAACCTAAAACCATTAGAAATTACACCCACCTCTGCGAGTTTTCCAGTGGTGGTATCGTACGCACCCTTTGCCGAGTCACCGATCCAGGTGGCGCCCTAAAAAGAATGTTTTCAGTAACAAAATTTCAGGGTAGACTTTCCTCGTGTTAGCGACTAATAGACCACAGGAACCGACTTCAGAACAAAAACTGGATTCAAAGTCACGCCGCTATGATTACATGAGGGTTATGCCGTGCACATGGAAAACAACAGAACAAAGTGAGGGATGACATGAGGGATCTACCTCTGACAGTTTTTCTGCAGTGGTCTCGTAGGCACTTTTTGCAGTGTCTCCAACCAGTGAAACACCCTTAACAATGAAGAGCTAAATTGCTGGTTGTGAAGATAAAATTCCTCAAAAAAGGACAGAAAAATGAGAAAACGAGTATCAGGCTAGAGCAATGCTAAACAAGCGCTATGGTTAAAAACTGCTTCAAAAACGTTTTTTATCGCAATATCGTAATATCATTTACTCGCGAATACTTCCCTTATTTCGCATTGCAACTGTTTTTGCGGCAAACTGCTTTTTAAGGGCGGACCGACCGCGCCCACCCACTAGAAACCTGCCTGAAAACAAGCAGCGAAACACCAAAGTGATAAAAGAGTAGTGTCTTACCTCTGACAATTTCTCAGCAGTGGTCTCATATGCGCCCTTGGCTGAGTCTCCCACCCATGAGGCGCTCTGGAAAGAGGTAACTGAACTTTGAGCCATATGTTACAGCAAGACAAGATATCATCAACGAAAATTAAAACACATTTTTCAGAAAAATGGCTAGAAATACACATGTGTCAAAACAAATAAAATAACAAATAAAATAAATTTTCACTGATTTTATAGAATTTCATTTCGGGATTAGACTCCAGAAACTTCAGACTCCGATGGAGTTCTCACCAAGATAACGCACTGCCGCTTTACTACCGGATTTCTGTTTCAGTTCACTACTTTCTGATGGTCCTTGAGAAAAATTCAAAATCACCTCTGACACTTTCTCAGTGGTGGCATGAAGCGTATCTTTGACACCTTCACCGAGATGGCTTGCCTTTTCCTGAGCAGCCGACGAGAGGTCCGACACAGTTCCTTTTGTCTATAATGACGAAGTGAAATAAAAGAAAAAAAATCATAAAATGAATACGGTTCAGCTAGGGAAGGGTGGGGCAATTTGCATTTTCGCTATTTCCCATCGTCGTGTCGAGCCATCACGTAAGGATCTGTGAAATCTTGTGAACCCATGAAGTGATACCAGTCAAATTCTGTAGAGACCATTTGTCAACTCTTGTAAAGCACTGAATACGACTATGAGAAGTAACGAAAGTGCAAAATGCTTCTCTACTCCCCTCCCAAGTCGAACTACGCCAAAAAAGTAAAGGCAAGTGAATTAAGCGAGGATAAGAAAGAACTTCATACCTTATCGTAGGCAGATGCTGTTGTGTCTTTAACGCCCTCTACTGCGCCTCCTACAACTTCGGTCTGGAAAATAAGGCATTCGTTGTCACCTTTCTAACAAGATGGTTACACAGTATTACAAAAATCTTATAATAATCACAGTGATAAAAATAATAGAATAATGTAACAGGGAAACAGTCGACAAGACCAGTGGGATTCACTTCATTAAGCAGTACCTTATCCAGAAGTAGAAAGGCTTCTGAGGTACACACTTAGCCAATAAAGTTCTTTCGATCCTTTAGCTAGACCATTTTGGCATTCTCTAGTGTATCCCGTGAAAACTGATGTTCTGGTAGACTTGAAAGGGTTCCAAAAGCCCGTGCAGGTCTACCTACTAAGCGGGCTTTCAGTCCTCGCGATGACTATAGGCGTCTTCTCCTCCGCACCTCCTTCTAACGTTAATCTGGCGCATTTGAGGACCTCGATGCCTGGTTCCCAATCAACAAGGACAAGTCAATTCAAAGAGGAGAATAGCAAAGAGTCGTATACAGGGGGGCCAAAAAAGTCACTTTGCTTCATTGACTTTCGAGGCGCTATAAGTTACACTTTATAAATTCTGATCGGACATTTCTACCACCATATTAAAGAGCATATTAAATACTATTATGACACTCCGCCACAGCCTTCTGGACGAGCGCCATCGAGAGATTCTGGCACGCGACCGCGATGTGGTGCCTGAGATCAGCGAGATAGTCGATTTCTCCGCCACCGTAGACCACCCTATTGAACTCCGCCCGAACCGGGTAAAGGGGATTCAGGTCAGGTGACCTACTTGGATATTCCACCTTTTTAGGTATTCAGCCCCCTTCCATTCCAAGTAGGCGAGAGTTTCTCCAATGCCCTTCGATTCCATGTGGTGGCACCCAATGCTGTAGCAGTACAAAGTTTCCAAGAAGGTACGGGCGACGACATGTGAGGAGGATATTCACGAGTTGCTCGATGTAACCGCCAGCGCTCACCTTCAGTCCGGGGTCCACGAAGAAAATATTGGTCTTTCCATTCCAGGTACGTCCGGTCCATACCATCAACCCGCGCCTTGGCGACTGTGGTGAAGATGATGTCCTAGACCGTGGCGACGTTGTCGGAGCTGCTCGATGTTGGAGGTCATCCAGATCGAGAGTACTGGTCTCCAGGTCCATGGGTGACTCCATACTAGAAGTTTCGCAGCTGTTTGGAGGTGACATGAATTCCAAAGGTCTTCTCCAGTCAGGCTGCGACTGGAGATGACTTCATATTTTGGTGTACATGAAGGTGATGGGCGAGAGCCAGCTTATAGAGGAACATCTTGGGTATCTTCCGCCCTGGTACTCGTATCCACGTCCTCTGTCTGGGCTGCGAAAACTTTGCTGATATGTGACTCGGTCGAAGTGACTTTTTTTGCCCCCCCCCTGTATATTCGTCTCATTTGGAGACACCTACACCTGATATTCCCCAAATCAAGTTAATAGCAACTTCTGGCGTCCAGACCACCAGCCCACGCTGTGGGTGATCGTGTGGGCGGAGACAGCCACTGTGCTCATCTCATTGGCATACTCTCCCATTTTCATGTAAAGCGCCGCACCAAAGAGGACGGTGCGACTGACTGTTTCCACCCCTGCCACAAGCGTGGAATGCCCCTTTAGCGTACCATATTCGACCTGAACCGGCGTGAGAGGAGCTCCCCATTTTACCATCATAGGTAAAAAAGGTTTGCTAATTAATAGGGTCAAATGATAATAGAAAAAAGAAAAACTAACATTATATAAGCATAATGCCAGTTATGCTGCCGATAATTCTACTGATAACTGAACAGATTGAAAAATATCCAGCAAAGTGAACACGAAAAAAATAACAATTTATAATAAACATGTAGCTGTTTGAAGATAAAAAAATCATAATAGATAACAATATCACTAATAGTAATAATTACAATATAATAATAATAATAATAATAATAATAATAATAATAATAATAATAATAATAATAATAATAATAATAATAATAATAAAAGTGAACTAACCGCTGATTCGGCAACATGGCCTATTTTCTCGCCAACACCTGATACAGCACCTTTCACCGAATCGAGTATTCCAAAGCCACCAGACTGGAATGGGAAAATTTTGACTTCAAGTAATGAAGGAAAAACAACAATTTATGATTATCAAATGATATCAAAATGTACTAATTACAAGATACAGAGATGAGAAAAAAGTCAGTGAAAATGTAATGTAGCTTTGGCATTCTACTTGGGGGGGGGGCTGAGGCGATGTATAAGTCAGCGCTTTTATCCTCCCGAAAGCTAGAAAGCTTGGTTAGACCACGCGGGAGCTTATCCGCGATTTGACACCCACCCTGCGCTACTGCTTAGCGTACCTCGCGCGGTACAGGGTTCAAATACCGGGTCGACTATCGGCTACGCCAACCGAACCTTCTATCATCGGAGTATGGTCAACTGGTACAAGATTCGTTCGAGAGAATAATAGCGCTGACTTATACATCGCCCTGCAAGTCATAGAGGCCACATCGCATTCAATGACCCACTACGATCCTGAATGACAGTAGAGTGCGTGTCGCATCCTACAAGGGGGATGATTAGCGGAAACTAGACTAAAGGCAAAGACTTTATAATATTTGAAAATATGAAGTACGAAGTCAAATCATATGATATTAGTATTATTATATTTCGATACCATTATTTGATTTTCCATATTCTATGCGGGTTAGAAATTATTGACATAATAATTCAAGAGGATTCTATTATTTATTCAACGTAAGCTTGGATGCGCCGCTACAACTGCGTGAAAAAATAATATAATATGAAATAATTAATTCGATGTAGCACAAGATGAGGCGGAGGTGGTGTGGTGGCGAATGGCACGCTTAGCACTCGCGCGGTCCAGGGTTCAAATCCTGGGTCGGCTCTCGGCTAGGCCAAACAAGCAGTCTATCATCGGAGCATGGTCAACTGATACCAGATTCGTTCGAGAGAATAATAGCGCTGACTTGTACATCGGCTGGCCCCCGCAAGTCTTTAAATAAGTCATATCGCGTTCAGTAAGCCACTACGATCCTGAATGACGAGAGTGCGTGTCGCATCCTACAAGGGGGATGATTAGCGGAAACTAGACTAAAGGCAAAGACTTTATAATATTTGAAAATATGAATGTACGAAGTCAAAATTCACTAACTTTTGCCTTCTCGCCAGCTTTTTCTGCTTCATGAATGCCGTGCATGTACGCCTGGTCGGTGTGCGCCTAAATCAGAATAACTAGGTCGTGGCGAGCATCGACTCTGCAATATTTAGCAAACTGGAATTGCAACTTCATCAAATTAAAAAAAAACCAAGTCAAAGTTGTATTTTGTAAAAGACAAAAAATTGTATGGAAAATTAGCAGAGCGAAAAGGATTTTTTTTACTATCGGAAGAATTATCGGTTTGAAATCCTCTCCCCCTTCCTCCCTACTGAAGAGATAAGGCAGAAACGGATCTTGAACTTCATTCCTCCCCCCCCCCACCTCCTCTGATAATTCACTAGGCAATCATGTAACATTTTGTCATTGCTCTGAACGAACTACTGGATATGAAACATAAGCAATTCGATATAGTTTAACGGTTGATGTGCAGTGTCCGAAGTACGGTTTTAAAGACACTCTATCCCGAAAAGCAAGATACGCCATGTATCCGAGTTCCTGTCGGGATTCTGATGGCTGTTGAATGGGTAATCCAACCATGCAAGGAATTCGGGAGGTAGCCGATATATGTTCATAGTTTTGCCTCCTGAGTAGTCAGGAACGGTGCAAGCCTGTTTTCCAGCAATTGTTGTTGCCATTTTCCAGTTTTAGTGGAGAGCAGGCTGGTACCGCGCCAAACCTAGCCCTTTCCCCCGACATGCCTCAGCATTTACAGAGAACAAGACTTAATTAGTGGGCGACTGTATCAGGAAACCGACCCAAAAAATATGGTACCGTTCAGGACCTGGAACCTTTGTCAACCTAGGCTTATGCGAATTATCCTCGCTCCTGCCATTCTCACGATAGACGTTGACACATCTCTGCCCCTAGACCTCACACAGATTTCTCGCCTCGAAGCAGGAGCAGTCTTCTCAGCAACCGTTGGGTTCCAAGAATCTCCGTTTTAGAGGGGGGGGGGAGGTATAATTTCGTTGTTGCGGAAGGACTGCAACTGCTCTTCACTTTTATCGACGAAGTAGACGAACGTTTAAAAGGGCTTCGGTAAGGCTGCACCATATCTCTCTCTGAAAACCATGCAGGGGAGCTCTCAGACTATGACAGAAATCTTTTCTCCAACGTGTTCAGGTACACTCTACGCTGGTCATTTGGGCGGAGATATGTATGGAACGCCTGAACAGCTTCTTTATTGGAGCGTCTTCATCACTGCCGCAGAAGAAGGGATACACTCGCGGGCCTACTGTTCCGCTAAACAAACCTACAGCATTCAGGCCCCCCTTTTCCTCAACCTTTTTTTTCCTTTTTCCACAACTTTTTCAACTCAGGTTTTTAAAGCATAATTCAAAACTCTCGCGGACCTCGGCCCTCTCAAGGTGCTCCGCTACTTGATCGGCTGCATGCTCGGCGTCCTTTTTTGTACCGAATAGGAAATCACCAACGGCCTTAGCAGCGTGGGCGGTTTGATCTTTTGCCGATTCCACCTGAAAACCGATATTCTATTACCTAATCAATCGACGTCTGATAAGAAATCAATAACTAAATTCTCACCGCATCACCGGCGACCTCTTTTGTGCCAGACAGAACGCCACCGATGCTGTGTGCTGTATCGGTCGTCTTCTCGCCAACAACGTGTGCAGCCTCAAATTAGTCGATATATCGATTGATTAGACAATCGATCATCATACGCGCTCAATCGATAGGGAAAACAACAACGAAAAAAATCATTCAAGGGGAAAAAGGGCTATGTTTGCTCTTTCCCGTCACTATTGACAAAGGAAAAACTATCTTATCTGACCAATACGACACGGTTTTTTTTGTCTATAATCACGAAGTGGAAGAAAAGTGAAAAATCATAAAATGGATGAGATTCAGCTAGGAAGGGGAGACGAGCCGACCCCACCCACCCACTAGAAACCCGCCTGAAAACAAGCAGCGAAACACCAAAATGATAAAAGAGTAGTGTCTTACCTCTGACAATTTTTCAGCAGTGGTCTCATATGCGCCCTTGGCTGAGTCTCCCTACCCATGAAGCACTCTGGAAAGAGGTAATGAACTTAGAGCCTTACGTTACAGCAAGACGGTTTACTAGATATCATCAACGAAAATTAAAACAATCATTCCTCAAAAAATGGCGAAAAATATGCATATGTTAAAACAAATAAAATAACAAATAAAATAAATTTTCACTGATTCTATAGAATTTCATTAATTCGACTCCACAAACTCCGATGAGTTCCTACCAGGCTAACGCATTGCCGCTTTACTACCGGACTACTACTACTACGGGCTTTCGTTTCAGTTCTATTCTGATGGTCCTTTAGAATAAAAATTCAAATCACCCTCTGTCACTTTCTCAGTGGTCCAGCATGAAGCGTACTTGACACCCCTTCACCGAGATGGCTTGTGCCTTATCATCCCACCCACACAACCGCGAGAGGTCCGACACAGTTCCTTTGATCCTATAAGAGAAGTTAAATCAATGAAAAAAAATCATAAAATGAATACGGTTCAGCTAGGGAAGGGTGGGGAAATTTGCATTTTCGCTATTTCCCATCGTCGTGTCGAGCCATCACGTAAGGATCTGTGAAATCTTGTGAACCCATGAAGTGATACCAGTCAAATTCTGTAGAGGCCATACTGTTAGACTTGTAAAGCACTGAATACGACTATGAGAAGTAACGAAAGTGCAAAATGCTTCTCTACCCCTCCCAAGTCGAACTACGCCAAAAAAAGTAAAGGCAAGTGAATTAAGCGAGGATAAGAAAGAACTTCATACCTTATCGTAGGCAGATGCTGTTGTGTCTTTAACGCCCTCTACTGCGCCTCCTACAACTTCGGTCTGGAAAACAAGGCATTCCTTTGTCATCTTTCTAACAAGATGCACACAGCTATTTAAAAAATCTTATAATAAGCAGGCAGTGATAAAAAAATAGAATAATTAACAGGGAAACAGCCTACAGACCAAGATTAACTTCCTAGCAGTACCTTATCTCAGAAGTAGAAAGGCTTTCTTGAGTACAGTATTAGCCCCATAAAGTTCTTTCGATCCTTTAGCGCCCATTTGGCACTTCAACACATAACACTCACACACACTGATGTCTGGTAGACTGAAGAGGTTCCAAACGCTCCGGTGCAGCCTACCTACTGAGGGCGAGTATAAGTTACGCAATGAGCGATAGGCGTCTTCTCCTCCGCACCTCCTTCTAACGTTAATCTGGCGCATTTGAGGACCTCGATGCCTGGTTCCCAATCAACAAGGACAAGTCAATTCAAAGAGGAGAATAGCAGAGTGTAACGCGGAGGGGCAAAAGTCACTTTCGCTTCATTGATTACGAGGCTCTATAAGTTACATTGTTTTTGAATTATGACGCATTTTTACCACATATTGAAGAGCATCCTTAGATACTCTTCCACAACCACCCGTCACAGTCTTCTGGACGAGCGCTATCGAAGCCTTCGATCGACCGCCCGATGGTGCCTGAGAAATCAAGCGAGATAGGCGATTTTTCGCTCACGCGTAGACCGACCCTAATGATCTCCGCCCCGAACCGGTAATTGAGTGATTCAGGTAGCGTGATCCTTACTGGATATTCCACCTTTTTTAGGTATTTATCCCATTTCCATTCCAAGTAGGCGAGAGTTTCTCCAATGCCCTTCGACTGAATGTGGTGGCACCAAATGCTGTAGCAGTACAAAGTTTCCAAGAAGGTACGGGCGACGACATGTGAGGAGGATATTCTTCACGAGTTGCTCGATGTAACCGCCAGCGCTCACCTTCAGTCCGGGGTCCACGAAGAAAATATTGGTCTTTCCCATTCCAGGTACGTCCGGTCCATACCATCACCGATGTCGCCGCGCCTGGCGATCTGATGCTGGCGATGAATGTTCTAGACCCGTGGCGGCGTTGTCGGAGCTGCTCTCGATGTTTGGAAGGTATCCAGATCGGAGTAGCATACCATAAGTTCATTCCATCCTAAGAAGTTCGGCAGCTGTTTGGAGGTGACATGAATTCCAAAGGTCTTCTCCAGTCAGGCTGCGACTGGAGATGACTTCATATTTTGGTGTACATGAAGGTGATGGGCGAGAGCCAGCTCCTGCTTATAGAGGAACATCTTGGGTATCTTCCGCCCTGGTACTCGTATCCACGTCCTCTGTCTGGGCTGCGAAAACTTTGCTGATATGTGACTCGGTCGAAGTGACTCCCCCTGTATATTAGTTTTCATTTTTAAGACACTAACTGATAATTCCGAAATCTATTAACAGCGACTTCTGCGCCAGGGCACAGCCTCACGCGTGGGATCGTGTGAGCGGATCATTCGGCGAGAATAGCCACTGTGCTCATCTCATTGGCATAATTCTCTCCCATTTTCATGTAAAGCGCCGCACCAAAGAGGACGGTGCGACTGACTGTTTCCACCCCTGCCACAAGCGTGGAATGCCCCTTTAGCGTACCATATTCGACGACTGAACCGGCGTGAGAGGAGCTCCCCATTTTAACATTATAGGTAAAAAAGGTTTGCTAATTAACAGGGTCAAATGATAATAGAAAAAGAAAAACTAACATTATATAAGCATAATGCCAGTTATGCTGCCGATAATTCTACTGATAACTGAACAGATTGAAAAATATCCAGCAAAGTGAACACGAAAAAAATAACAATTTATAATAAACATGTAGCTGTTTGAAGATAAAAAATCATAATAGATAACAATATCACTAATAGTAATAATTACAATAATAATAATAATAATAATAATAATAAAAGTGAACTAACCGCTGATTCGGCAACATGGCCTATTTTCTCGCCAACACCTGATACAGCACCTTTCACCGAATCGAGTATTCCAAAGCCACCAGACTGGAATGGGAAAATTTTGACTTCAAGAAATGAAGGAAAAACAACAATTTATGATTATCAAATGATATCAAAATGTACTAATTACAAGATACAGAGATGAGAAAAAGTCAGTGAAAAGTGGCGCGCTTACACTTGCGCGGCGCCGGGTCAAGTCCCGGGTCGGCTGCCCGCCCGAGGCAACAAGCCCTTGCTACCTCGGGGACGGTAAATTGGTACCAGATTCGTCTGGGAGGATAAAACACTGACTTGTACATCGGCTGGCCCCCGCAAGTCATTGTATAGGCCACATCGCATTCAGTAGCCACTACGATTCTAAATGGAAGTAGAATGCGTGCCGCATCCCGCAAAGGGTTTGATCAATGGCGAAGACTTTATCCTTTATCCTTTTATTTATCCAACGTAAGCGTAGGTGCGCTACAACTGCGTGAAAACATAATATGAAATAATTAATTCGATGTAGCACAAGATGAGGCGGAGGTGGTGTGGTGGCGAATGGCACGCTTAGCACTCGCGCGGTACAGGGTTGAAATACCGGGTCGACTATCGGCTACGCCAACCAAGACCTTCTATCATCGGAAGCATGGTCAGCTGGTACCAGATTTGTTCGAGAGAATAAAAGCGCTGACTTGTACAGTCCTCATCATTGTGCGGAACCGGGGGCGTGTCAGCCAGTATGAGTGTGCACACTGTTGAAGCCGTTCTCAGCCTTTTTGTTGAAACGCGTATGCGACAAAAAGTGGTAGAAAACGAGTAATACGGAGGATATAATACAGTCATATCATTTGCTCGCTTTAAATACTGGTGGAGAGCGGGTTTGGCACCGCGCCAAACGCAGCCGCACTGAACCGCCCGACAGTATGTAATGATGAGGACTGTACATCGCCTGGCCTCCGCAAGTCATTATACAGGCCACATCGCATTCAATAAGCACTACGATCCTGAATGACAGTAGAGTGCGTGTCGCATCCTACAAGGGGGATGATTAGCGGAAACTAGACTAAAGGCAAAGACTTTATAATATTTGAAAATATGAAGTACGAAGTCAAAATTCACTAACTTTTGCCTTCTCGCCAGCTTTTTCTCCTTCATGAATGCCGTGCATGTACGCGGTGTCATCGCTGTGCACACGTAAATCAGAAATAACTAGGTGCGTGGCGACATCGATTCCGCAAGATCTTGACGGCAAAACTGGAATTGCGACCGTCACAAATTAAAAAAACCAAGTCAAAGTTGTATTTCGTAAAAGAAAAAAAATTGTATGAAAAATTAGCGGAGCGTGAGGGATTTTTTTATTGTTAGAAGAATCAATCGCTTTCGAGATTTTCTAACGTCCTTCGCTCCTTACGAAGAGCTAAGGCAGAAAGGGATCTTGAAGCACTTTATTCCCCCCCCCCACCCCTCTGATAATTCACTAGGCTACCATATAACATTTGGTCATTGTTGTAAACGAGTTACTGGATATGAAAGACAAGCAATTTCATAATATAGCTGTTGACAAGCAGTGTACGAGACGTTCCACAAGACACTCTGTCTCGGAAAGCCAGATACGCCCATGTATTCGAGTTCTTTTCGGGATTCTGATGGCTGTTGAATGGCTACTCCAACCATACAAGGCCTTCGGAAGGTAGCCGATACGTGTAGTTTTGCCTGCTGAGAATAGCTGGGTGCGTCAGGAACGGCGCAAGCCTGTTTTCCAGCAACTGTTGTCGCTTGCCATTTTCAAACTTTCAGAAGAGAGTGCGGCCGGAAACGTATCGCTTTCGCCCCCGACATGCGCCTAGCATTTACTAGACAACACGTAATATATCAAATTGTGTTTATAATCCGGCATGTGAGTCGACTGGACTGAAACTCCAAAAAATATGGTATCGCTCAGGACGCACTTAACCTTTTGTCAATTTAGGCATGCGACTTTGACTGCTCCGTCTGGCAGTCTCTTAGCAACCGTTAGGTTCCAAGAATCTAAGTTTTAGAGAGGGGGGAAGGTGTGATTTAGTTGTTGCGGGAAGGACTGCAAGTGCTCTCCACTTTTATGCTTTCATGAGCATATGTCGTTATTGAGCATAATATGTAAACTAGTATAATAGGGGCCTCCGTAGAGGCTGCCCCAAACCTCTGTCGCAGGGAACTCTCAGACTATGACAGAAATTCCTCCCACAGCGACTCAGGTACACTCTACACTGTCCATTGGGAATCGGAGATACGACACCTGGAAACGCTTGCAACACATCACAGTCTTCCTTTACTGGAGCGTTAATCATATAAACACCGCAGAAAAAGCGATACCCAACGTCACACACCACCTACAAAGCGGACCTACTGTGCCCGCTAAACAAACCTACAGCATTCAGGCCCCGCCCCTTTCTCCAACCTTTTTTCCCTTTTCCAGCACTTTTTTTCAAGCTCACGTTTGTTAAAGATAAAATTCAAAACTCTCGCGGACCTCGGCCCTCTCAAGGTGCTCCTCTACTTGATCGGCTGCATGCTCGGCGTCCTTTTTTGTACCGAATAGGAAATCACCAACGGCCTTAGCAGCGTGGGCGGTTGATCTTTTGCCGATTCCACCTGAAAATCGATATTCTATTACCTAATCAATACGACGTCTGATAGGAATCAATAAACTAATTCTCACCGCATCACCGGCGACCTCTTTTGTGCCAGACAGAACGCCACCGATGCTGTGTGCTGTATCGGTCGTCTTCTCGCCAACAACGTGTGCAGCCTCAAATTAGTCGATATATCGATTGATTAGACAATCGATCATCATACGCGCTCAATCGATAGGGAAACAACAATAAAAAATCATTCCAGGGGAATAAGGACCTTTATGTTGCTCTTTCCGTGCACTACTTAACAAAGGAAAGCTATCATATCTAACCACTAAACGTATGCCATCAAAAAGTGTTGCAAAAAAGGGTCGGGGTCCTGCACGAGGGAGGCGGGCTCCGGCATTGCCAAAGCCCGAATATTTCCCTAGAGACGCTTCCAGTGTTGTCGTGCATAATGCTCCTCTTATGCAGTGTCGGCGCACCCAAGAAGCCTCTGAAGTTGAAACGTTATGGGCAAATTGAAAATCGTATAGCAATGATAGTCATACGGACACGTCCAACACAAGCAGGATTGAGAAAAGCATACGTACCTCAGCGGTTTTCTCTGCGGTGACATCATAGGCACCTTTGGCACTGTCCGCCACCCATTTGGCACTCTGAACATACAAAGAGATACACAGACCGACACCAAAAAATGTAAAAGTGAAGTTCGCGCCGTGCTACCCCGGCCCCTGATTCTATTCTGATAAAGTTGAGTTTGCGCCGTGCTACGCCCCGCCCCACTGAATTCTCTCTGAAAGGGTACTGACCCTCATGGGAATGACCGTCGTTCAGAGCAACTGAACCTATAAGAGCAGTTCCGATCGCCTGACAGAGAATAAATAATAGCAAAATGCCGCAGTCGTCTCTTGGCAATTCTCGCGCCATGATATCGCGGAATGTGTCTTTGAAATGGGGGACGTGGACAGGACGTAGGTTAGGCTGCGTGCTGATCCCAACTGGCCACTACTCAGAACCGATAATTAAAAGCTTCCGCTTATTGAACTGGTAGATTTTGCCGAAACATCTCAAGCAAGAGTCACAAGGGATCTGTGGGAAATCTCCCAATTCAGGTTGGTAAAACTGTGGCACTAATCAAGAAAGTTCTTTCAAACTTCACTTACTTCTTCCGCTTTATGCTCTGCTTGTTCCAAAACGTCACCGATCTGATCAGCTGCTGACGCTACAGTATTCTTGATGCCTTTCTGCAAATGCACACCTATTTATGGTCATTGAGGCATGCTTCGGAAATCTCACAAAAACCCACAAGAAAACTCATCGTTTCCTCTTTTTGTTCTGGATTAGTAGATGTTACTAGAAAATATTCATTCAGGAGTTTCTCATGGTTAAATATAGAAAAACGGTTAAGTTCCACCACGGAAATAAAACGGTGGTTCGAGTAAAACGAGGACAGGGTACGACACTATGACAAAAAGCGGCCTCAATTTATGACGAGAACAGAAAGGAAACGATCGATCAATATCAATCGATTCAAGCAAATAAGAAAACTGAAAGGATTAAGAAGTAGATGGGAGGGGAAAACGCCCAAGAAATGACATTAACAAATCCGTTGAAATCGGTTAGGAACCTGGAGAAGAGGAAACCAGAGAGATCATCAGAAGGGAAAATTATCATTAAGCAGAACAGATCAATAAATCGATCCAAGAAAGCGAAGAAAAAGGTGTGGTAAGGTAATCAGAAAGCTAGTGTAAAATATTCCAAAAGCTAACCAAACTGGAGTCGGAAATCCTGATTAAGGTGTGAGTACGTCTGTTGGATATGTTCTATCAACACGACGTCCTCGTCCGAGGTGGGTCGTAATCGGTTCTTAGAAGGGAGGGGGGGGGAGGTTGGAAAAAATGTTTTTCGGTTGTTGAATTCTGTCACGTTTTCCCGTTTCACGGGCAGTATACAATCATCCCTTCCTACTCCCACGCAGGGGCATCGTGCGTTGGGATAGAGGGTACCAACAGGGAGGACAGAGGGGGCCGTACGTTGCCACCAGAAGAGGGGTGGGAGTAGTGGCTGGCTCTTTCGTAATTTTTCCCTGTTTCATGTTGCGTATTATAATAACCCCACCCCCCCAGCTCCGATTCGAAGAAAGAAGGGCGAGGGGGTCGTACCAGCCACAAAAGGGGGGGTCGCACGCACTCGACTTAAATCCCCAACTAATGATGTGCCGTGTGGGGATACCCCAACATGGGAGCGGCCTTATTTGGTCGCTGGGGAGAGTGGAGTTGTTATGCTGAGGAAAATTTATTTTGATCGTTGACTTTTAATTGTTCCACACGGACGCTATATAGGAGAGGGGATTGTATTTGGCTCTTGCTCTTATGAGAGAGAGAAAGGTTATTGATTTTCGTGGGTTCTCCCCCTCCCTAGTAACTAATATACGCCCCCCCTCCACACCGATCAGCAAAATTTTCTGGGAAAAGGGAAAAAGTAGGAAATTTTCGGGGAATTCCGGTAAGTGTGCTAGGAAGCTGGGAAAACTGAAGATACGAAGAATGGTCAGTAGGATGGGGAAGAGGGGGTGGTCGTAACGATACCTTTAAAAAATGGGAGGGGGTCGTTTAAAAAATGGGAGGGGGTCGTACCAACCCTTTAAGAAATGGTAGGGGGGAAAGTGTTGCACGAGCTCGACATGGTGTGCCCTGTCCCCGCTGGGAGCGGCGGTAGTTTCCCAAGGAGAAAATGGAGAAACTTCTGGACAAAAAAAGCCTGGAAAGAGTGTAAATAAATCGAAGTCAAAGAAGATGGTGGGTGAGATGTGGTATGTGGAAGGGCGGCAGAGGACCGAGTTTTGAGGGAGGGTGGCATTTTGCAGAAAGTCTCACCATTTGCAGGACGTGCCCTGATAACAATCACAGTTTTGCATGGGGATATTTTGAATCCCCCTCCGAACTCGCGCTAAATCTAAATGCTAAACTCTGAATAATCGTCGAGCAAAGAGGTATGAAAAAGACTACGGGTAACTTCATCCTGCCAAACCACTTATCTCACCAGAAGAAGTTCACGACAGCTGAAGTAAGACGTCTGGAGCTGATTGTGCATTCAGATAAGGCCTGAGCGAATAAACAGACAACGGACAGCCCTAATTGGCATCTGTCCAACGAAAACAGCACCCTATGGGACGGCAGATAGTATGAAAAGAACGAAACATACGCAATTTCCATGAATTGTCGGGATTCGGGCCGACCAATCCATGCAATTTCAAACTGCGTCAGAATCCGCGGCTCCTAGTCTTGCCCAACCCAGTGCCAGTTTTCACCCCAAAACCTCCAAACGCAGAGTATGTTGGCCAGAACCTGACAATCCTGATCAATGAGTCAGCCTCGTTATCCGCGTCACTGCCTCGTCAAGAGCGCGTCAGCCTCCCGTGCACAATTGGTCCGTAGTGTAGCGGTTAACACCCTGGACTTTGAATCCAGTAACGCGAGTTCGAATCTCGCCGGGACCTAAGTTTTTGCAAATGGCTTATAGGTTGATCCAGTACAAGAAATACCAGTTGAGCCTGAGCCCCCACAAAGAAGAGCCCTCATAAAGTGCTATCTGAAGGAAAGTAAGCATAAAATATAGGAGTGGATAACAAGTGAGGCAAAAAATAAGGATAAAAAGAAACAAGCCATTAGGTGGAGGTGGGCAGGGGGAGCGGGGGGGGGATTTGAAGGATTCTCCCCCAAACTATAGTGGCAACTGCACCGGCCTTAAACAAGGAGGAGGGAGGCTGGAGTACCCTAATTTCTGGTACAGACGAATGTTCCGCATCACAGCTCCTCTGGCCTGGCAGAAGGGTTCTCTCCGAAGCCGTTCCCAGCAGCGGGTCAGCTATCATGAAAAATCATTAATAAAAGGTGAAGGCACGATTTATTCTGTACTGCCCCATCTTCGAAATTCCGCCCATGTTTTGAGATCGAGAAGTGTTGCTCGTGAGTAGTTGGCATTGGGATACTTATTCCAGTAGCATAAATTATATTTTCATACACAAAGCTCACCCAGCAGCAGCACCAGCGCCCACACCAAAGGGACCGGTGAGAAACTGTCTGTGGCGCGGAAGCCAAACATATTCGGGTTCAGTGTGCCACCCTAGCCCCCAAGACAGAATTTTGGCCAAATCTGCTGAATCGGAAGCTGAACGAGGAACGTCGTAAAACACTGCAAGGAATAGGTACTAGTTGGCTAGCCTGATGTATACTGTTAAACCATTTGTCAAAGGCCCTCCGGTTTTCAAAACTTCTTTCTACAGAGATAAAGACAATGCGGTCTGGAAAACAAAAGAATTCTTCACTTCTCCCCCTGGAAAGGGAAAGAAAGCTGAAAGAGTGGTATTGTGTCTGGCCAGAGCTGCGTCATAACTGCATGTTTTGGCAACAGTCCATACATTTTGCGACATTTCACAGTCGACAGGCGAAGGAGGAGAGGGGGAAGTAATAAATGACCAAGAAATATTATAAAAAATATTATATTAGAACTAATCAGCCCTTTGAAGAGAAAGTTCTGTCTGAAATTACTGCTCATGTCAGCTATATACTGGCAACGGCAATGATGACAAGGACGCTCTAGACAGTGCCTTAATGAAGCAGGAATATTGCTTGAAAAGACAACACTCTGAAAAGCTTGTTTACTTCACTTCCTTACTGCTATCTTATTTCGTTTCAAACTACTCATTTTTTAAAAAATATATTATGGCCATTGCTTATTGCTCGTTTTTACTTCGAGCCTTAGTTAGCTTTTTCTCGATCCTGCTCTCAATCTCTTCCACATTATGAAATACCCAGCACTTGTGAAATATTTCAGGCTTTAGACCAACAGGTAATCGCGTTTATGTTTTTTAATTCAAAAAGAGCAAGATATTCTCAATGGTTTCGGTCAGCAAAATGGATGGAACCTCTTATCTTTGGAAAAGAAAAACCACGACAAAGCGGGCATCACTCGCGAAACTAATCACGTTAATGCGTATCTTGAATCCGCGATGACCTTCTTACTCGTTTTCAAAAGAATGATTTCATTAAAGTAAATCGTTGAAGTGGAAATTATCCTGCTCAAGTGCATTCGCAGAGAATTAGCTCCACTTAAGATAAAGCATCGTGAAGTGTGAAGTGGCGGTGTTAGTTCAACTTTTCCCCAGACTTCTCCCTCCAGAATTAGCCCCTCTTTATGGACGGGGTTAAACCCCACTGGTAAGATCTCCTAACGATGCTTCACCCTGGCTCCACTCTGAGCACTGCAGGTCTAACTTTACTGAAAACGCCAAAATTTGAAAATGACTAAATTTTGGGGGTAAAATAATTTTAAAACTTTGTTAGCCATGAATGAATGCCTCAAACAGCAATCATGTTGAATGACCAAGCCTGAGCAATTCCCCCGAGAGAGGATCCTCACAAAAAGGAACGATTCCTTACATTATGATAGACGACTGATAAGAGAAAAGGGATAGTGTGGAAAAGTATGAACTCCCGGAGAAAGGTACGTCATACGTTGGGAATCCCTAGCGAGGTGCGGTCGTATCTGTTTGGTAGAGGGAGCGTAGGGGATCGTAACTGGCTTGAGAAAATTTTTGATATTCGATTTTTCTTTTTTCTTGTTTCATGCCCTTTTTTTCTCCTGTTCCAATCCAAAACGCTGGGAAAATCCCATTGGAAGGAGGGGTTGTGGTTACTCGTTCATTTGAGAGGGGATCGCATCCTCCTTTGAAAACATTGTTTTCTGCTCACGAAATACATAACTCTTTCCGTTTGACGACTTTTCGAGATTTTTCCCGTTTTACATGTGCTACATCTATCCGTAAACTCCTGGAAGATGATAAATAGCCACCATAGCAGAGCACATCGTTGTTGGGGAATCCCCGGAAAGGTGGGGGGTCGTATTTGGTCGCCAGGAGAGGGGGGGGGTCGTATTTGGGCTGAGAAAAATTTATTTTGATAGTTGATTTTTCTCGCTTCACGGACGTTGTAAAAGGGGAGGGGGTCGTACTTGCTCGTTGTTGGGAAGGGGGTCGTATTTACTTTCTGGCCTTCCGGGAGAGGTGGTTGACTTCCGTGATTTTCCTATTTCATCTGTACTATATACACCCCTACCTCTCCCCCGCCACCTGTCCCCGCTCGACAGCTCGATTATGAGGGACAGATACAGCCCGCCACCTGTCCCCGCTCGACAGCTCGATTATGAGGGACAGAGGGCCAAAGGGGTAGGTCGTACCCCCCCCCACCTTCGAAAAAAAGGGGGGAGGTCGTACGGACTCGACCAAAATCACCACCAATTATGCGCCCTGCACCATAG